TGAATTAATTTTACGTGGTAGAGCCATGCTGCAGCTATATTAATAATATAGTTGTAGCACGAATGGGTCGGCTCGACCGGGGAAGGACCACGCTCTTACAGAATACCAGCGTAAAATAGCAGCTTAATGCTGCTGTGTTTCCTATGGTGAGTGTAGAGAACCGAAGACCCTTTTTACTGGAAAAGAGGCATTCCATCTTAGTCCTCACGGGTGACAAGGCATCTGCATTTTGATTCGCAAACGAGGAAAGATGTAGATGTCTATGGGCCACAGTAACCACTTACCATGAGGTGCAATACGGGCAACGTGTTCTGCCCGGGGAGCGGCCAACGCTCCGAGTGGTAGTTGGGAGCTATTCCATATATTATACTGCTTTAACTTCGGAAATTTGGTAGCGCGATTTAGGCTTCGATGTGTTTCCCATGTGGCGCGACGACATTGCCGTCACATATATATATATATATATATATATATATATACTAGCTGACCAGGCAGACGTTGTTATGCCCTTTTCGATGACCCTTCATATAAAAAATATTGAGTGTCACTTATCAGGATAAAGACTATCCTATCTCTCAAATTGGACCAAACTGCACAGAGTGTGCAAAATTTCATTGAAAACAGTTCAAACATGTGACACGTAATTTTTATATATATATATATATATATATATATATATATATATATATATTTATATATAGTGTTGTGTTTCGTATGATGAGTATACTGAAGCGGTGACGTTTTTTACTGCAAGCGAGGCATTCTATGTTCGTACTCGTGTGAGATGACAGCGCATTTACATTTTGATTCTTATTTGAGAATAGATGTACTCGTAAGTGTATATGGGCCGCAGCATCCATTTATCATCATATGGACTGTGTGATCATTTGTCAACCGTACCCTATAAAAGAATTGTACTCTACTACCACATCCATTTCACTTAATTTGTACTATATTTAATCTGAATCGTTTAATTATAGTTGACCTGTGGAGGAATTGTGTAACTAAAGTGTGAATTGTAGATGGCTTTGGTTTAAAGTTCGACGGTAGGTTTCATTGACAGTAGCCTAATATATATATACATATATTAAACTCAAAAGTCATGAGTTCGAATGCAACTTCTAAAACAAGCAGTAATGTTAAATATGTTTGCTAGTATTTAAAAATTTTTTGTGAAAATATATCTGTATCGTTTACACGCCAATTATTTATATTATTATCTTATGTTAAGTATTGGAAAACATAAAATATCCCAAAATAAAACATTGTCTCAATCTCATTTGGAAACCAAGTGGACATTTTAATATAGAAATATGCGGTAAACTATTTGGAAATATATTCCTACATGAAGACCTCATAACCTAGTGCCAAATCCTACCTAAAAATAAATATATAAAAAAACAAATGCAAGTTGCAGTGAATCTTAGCTTATTTCTGAACTGATTAAATTCCTTCTTATTGCATTGGCAAGGCAAGGGGGAGGCCTTTACTCATAGGGAAGATTTTGCATAATTGCCACGCTTGACTGGCAGATTTGCAACTGTAGTTCTTCTGCACACTTCCAAAAAGGAGACGGTACTCAATACGACGGTATTTTTTTATGTGTGTTACCTCATAATTGTTTACTGGGTGAACCGATTTCAATGATTTTTTTTATATAAAAGCTGATACATCTCGTGTGGGCACATATGAATTTGATCAAGGTCAGACTAATAGTTTTTGAGTTATTCTTAATAACTTATATTGAAGTCGGCTGTACAAAATTTTTAATTTTAAATTATTACTTATTTCAGTTTTAATTAAAAAAATGCTGCTGCCCATCTCGTGTTTAAGATGATTATATTGATGACGAGGTAACTAAGGAAATATGTACCAGTACTTTACAATCTTCTCAGTTTGCAATGCTAGACTAACAGATTGAAGCTACAAGTGCAAAGGATATTACTATCCACTCTCTGTGTAACTTATTCTCTTTGAGGCCTTATACAACATCACCTTGTTGAATCTAACATTAAGAAAATTATCTAAGTAACTTTGAACCCACGTGGACGAAAATCGATATTAAACGGCTCAAGTTGCGTATTTATATATAGGTGGCCTATGTGCAGCAGTAGACGTGAAGGACTATAAACATGATGATGGTGATGACGTTGGTGGTCGTGATAATAATAATGATGATCATTGTATAAATTATTAAGTGACGAGATAAACCATCTTCCAAGCAATATGCTAATTATGTATTAAATCCCACCAAACGTTCCCCAACCAATGCCCACAAAAATTGTTTTAAGAAACACGTAAGTACTTGTCCTGTGTAGCTAAATCATGCGTTAACACTCCTTAGCGATAAATTTGTTGTGGGATAAAAATCCATGATTTTTTTTAAATATTACTTTTAATATTTTTGAATATTTAACTCAGAGTAACTTGAAATTTTTAAATTTATGTGTATTAAATTGTTCGACATGACTTTTAAAAAATATTATATTTATAAGAATAGAAATTGAAATAGAAACTTTTTTTATTTAATACAGATAATAAATTATACTACTTATTGAAAGTCACTTTTATATTTAATTTACCGATAGTTCGAGAATATCTCTTTCCTGGGAATAACCAGCAATAAGCCCAGCGGGACTGTTTTTTAAAAAAAAAGGTTTAATATGTCGAAAATTACACAATAATTATCAAAACAAAACAAATTAAAAATATCTTGGTAGCGATTACCTCATTCCAGGGGCTTATACTCATCCATAAATAATATAATAATAAAATGAACCAAATTATTTAACATATTTCTGTTTGTCCCTAAGTTTATTATAGTCTTATTTTGGCAGTTTTATAAAATCCATTTATTGTCCAAGTTTTTTCAAGATTATGCCAACTGACATGAAATAATTTTTGGATTTCCTTATACTCATACTCGTCATATTATATACTATTCCAAGCAGCGTTCGTTTATTAGCAAAATTCACTGTGTGTGAGTAAAGTCGACATTTTAAGACGACGTTTTTCCGTCCGTCCCCTTTACATTCCTGAGTACATGAATATTTTCAACATAGCATACCGTTTCACTAAATAACTCTTCAATGAGACTGGTTATAATGTTGAAAAATTCTCCATAGAATAGATTGATTATGAAAAGCAAAATGACACAGCAAACGGTGACTTTTAATTTTTGTCTTTGTTTTTTAATTAAAACTACTTGAAACTAGTATTTTATTTACGGAATCCCTTTAAATGAAAACATCGCGTTGATGAAAAATATCAATGAGACGAATATCGGACTGTACAATTATTGCTTCGAGCCAAAATATCTCGTTCTAAAATCAGATGTTAAAGAACTAGAACGGTGATGGAAATCAAAATACAAGGAACTTCCATAAAGAAAGCTAAAGATAAGTTGTCATCCCCGCGGAACGAGATGAAGTGTCTCACAGCCGCCTACCCATAACAAGACAGATTCTTATCGAACAGACAAAATTGATTTCCATTTGCGTTTGGGTATCAAAATCAGGTTGTTGGTGTATTATAAAATTTGTTTGACTTTTACGGCTCTCACTTAATCTTATTTATATAGCAGAAATTAAAATGCATAGTCATTACTTTGGAACAAGAACAAAAGAGAGATGATGATTATGAATAATATGTTTAGTGTATATATTTATTAAAGGAGATAATTATTTAAAATTTAATATTAGATTACAATCGATAATACAAAATGTAAATTTGCATTCATTTCAACGCAATTCTGGTTATAAATTATCATGGAGGGTAAACAAGTGCCTTAACTAGAGCAAAATACTAAAATAATTAATCACTGGCAACATTGCGATAATAAATTAACAGACGATGCTCCATCATTCAATTCCTCCGCACATTTGTTACTGAATAACCAATCTATGTTGTTTATATGTTCATTGAAAACTGAGGAAATGTTTTGGAAATACATATAATCTGAAGGTATAACATGTCCATCAATTTTGTAAGCGGTAAACACTTGCTTTTGAGATACATTCATAATTAATAATATTAATGTCTTCCAGACCAAATTTCGACTAGATATGCACATGACATAATTAGACAGGACAGGATTAATGTGCGTGAGTGTGTGCATAAGCGCAAGTGCTCTCTCTCTCTCTATTCCCCTCACTCAAAGTCCATTCGGACGGCAATCTGATACGACCAGAGAGAAGCGCAGGACCAACGACTTTATGGGCTTTACGATGCGGTGGGTGATACATTGTCACTTTTCTATCTTTGGTCTTATGAGAATTTTTTGTCAAAAATACTAATAACTGATTTATTGGTCCAATCCAGGATTCAAAACTGGGTCCACACGATCAGCAGTCAATGAAGTAGTCAATAATTTATGATATTAAATTATTTTTAATTTACCATAACACTTAAGTATTACTTTGATTAAGTTGTAGTTGCTATGCTTGGCGGTGGCTTGGTGAGTTGGCAATAGCTGCTTGTTATTATTTTGTGGTGTTAGCGTGGTTGGATGGATATCTGAAAACTGCTGCCCATCTACTGTTTCACTTCCCTTTGTCGACTCTTACGGTACCCACGGTATTTTATGAAACAGTGGATTCTGTTACGCCTGAAAATTGTCGTATATTTCCTTTAAATTATCAAGTTCAGTAGATCACGCGATAGATTTACTTACAATATGCATACAAATCAATAGGTGAAGTGAAAAAAACTCAATTCGCATACTTTGATTTTATTTCTTTTAAACAGTCTTATGATCGAGCGACAAGTTTACAGTTCAAAATATTTAAATACTTTTTTCAATTTGGCGGTTCTAAGCAAGATTTAGATTATACGAGCTTATTTCTGTAAATAACATAACATCGTTGTCTTTTCCTTTACACGACATAATAATAACAATTATATTTACAAAACTTTTCACGTGTAATTGAATTACGTACCTTAATTTAAAGCATAAAATGTATTCAATACTATTTACAATTAATATTCATTTGTTGTAACATCTACATAAACATGTTGGATAACACTATGCTGCATAACGTCAATTTTAATATCCTATTTGACGGCAACTGGACCTTAGATATTCCTTTCGCTGCTTCCGTTAATCCTGGATAACAAAATAAATTATATGATAACCTTATTTATACACTCATTCCTAATACGTAAAAAATGCGTGCTAGAGCCACTTTGCAGCTATATATGACTTCATCACAGATGGGTCGGCTCGGCCGGGGTAAGACTACGCTCTAATACAGTACTAGTGTGAATCACAGAATAATAGAAGAACCGGTGATCCTTTTTAGTGGTAATGAGACATCCCACTTTAGTTCTTAGGAGTGACAATGCGTCTAATTTTCATTTGGAATTGAGGACATATGTAGGTGTCTATCAAAGAGTCACAAAATATTAAAATCAGGTGGACTTTGTGCTCGCTTGTCACCGTCATTCTATAAAATGAAAATAAAATGGTGAAAGTTATTAAAATATATTTCAATGAAGATATCATATTTCATAAAAAATGGTATTCGTTTATCATCATAATCATCATTATCATAATAATCATTACAGTCTATCAATGTCCACTGCCGCACAACATATGCTTTCCCCAAATACTGCTTAGTATTTGCCAAAGTTGCACAGCTTGGCAGGCGGTTGACAACCTCAGTTTTTTTTTATTTTGAGTTTTTATCTGGAAGATGCAACAGCATCTTCCCATTATTTGTTTTAACCACGCTAAGTGTTCTAGAGTAAAACATCAGCATGATGCTGCTTTGTGGTAGTTTTTTTTAGTAGAATTGTGGTAAACGATAAAAAGAGGCCCTTTTTATTGCTAACGAGGCTACTCATCTTCACCTTAGGGTGAAATAGTATTTGTGTGCACGTTTGTCACCATTACTTGTATAAAAAGATACCACAAACTTCGGGTGTGTGATAAATCGCACGCGCAGTTGATAGCTTATGATAATTGTCGCAAATTCGCTAGGAGAACGTGATATTTATGTTTTGTTTCTAAATATTTTCTTTATGTTTATTTTTTTTATTATAAATATATACTTTTTATAATTTATTTTAATTCTATGAAAGTATATGATATGTTGGGCTAAAATACGAAAAATTAAAAAGACATCATTCAAGTGATCTAATTTACATCCTAAGATTTTTTTAAATAATTGATTATTAACACCAAATGAGTAAAATAAATCCAAACATACCTCCAGCAATACTAATCTGATTGTTGAAGTCGTCTGATTGAGAATTTAGTTTAATCTCTGTAAATATAGCATCAAATTAGCATAAAATATTTCACGTATCAACATGTTACGCGATAGAGACATCTTACCATACAATCGAAGTGTTCCTTCACTCTTGCCTAGTGAGTTTGTACTAATGCAGTTATATGTACCGATATCGTTTTTAGAGAATTGGTTTATAGTAAGCCACATGGATACCTTGTATGATGATTTCTCTTCTCTTATCGTATACTTTGGACTGAAACAGATCAAAAACATTATTTATCTATATATTATAAAATACTACATTCAATCTTTATTCTCATACACCTATATTATGTTTTTTCTGTTATAATTCATTATTTTATAACGATACATCTACACTAAGGGTTTTCCTCTAGAGTTGTTTTATCATGCATATGATGCCCATGGACAAACATGATGCCATGAACGTTTAGTCGCGATATCGGTATCGCAAGGCTCTGGCTTTCACACTGATATAATACGTCCCACTACTGAACGCTTGAGTTCATGATGGCGGACATCAAATGTCTTTGAAATATTTTTTTTATTTCTCTGACATGCAGGTTTCCTTACAATGTTTTCCTTTACCGACGAGCAGGTAATAAATCAACACTCAAAATAACAACTAATAATAATTTCATTGGTGTCCGTAGGGATTTATCTCGATTTGCTCGCGTACTATGAAATTAAGGGCGAGTGCTTAGTCCCTAAGCTACCATGAGTCCTGCCTTATTTAATTGATTATAATTTATAACTTACCCATCTAATAACATTTCTCCTCTGTTCTTGATCCAATAGTTAATTGTGTTCGGATATGCTTCAACGTAGCACTTGAGTTTCACGTCAGTTCCAAGTGGCGCGCCCAACAACTGGTTTGGTACTTTTACAGTTGGAGCAACTACATGGTGGAAAAGGTAATATCCTGTTAATGAACTATACAAAAAAATGTTAACTTATGGACTACATACGACCTAGTGTTGGGCACGCGTCTTCTCATTTCTAATAGGGTTATTGAGAAATAAGTGGTCCCGTGCACATTATCTTCGAAATACTTATTTCTCATACATGCCTTACGTTGTAATTCTTTATTACCGATCAGCCCAAGTAGTAAATTAGTGCTTAAAATTGCAATTAACAAATTTTTGGTGCTGGCAATATTCGAATTCAAGTTCAAATTTACGGCAAGGCCCGTGAACTATCACGTATATAATAAATTATGATACTCCCTACAACGGGAGAGGCCCACGTCTAGCAGTGTATTTTTATGGGCGGATAAAGGAGAAGAAATATTATATCTATAAATATCACTCTTCTTACGAATAAATCCTCCTTATTATACCAATACAATACAATAAAACAACCTGTGAGAGTTTTTTGTAATCTTAAACACCCTACGCACGTACACAGAAGTACTTCGGCTGTATATTTATCGAATAATATTTGTGAATAAAACGAGTAATATTTTTTAAAGTTGTATTTAGAATGGCTGCAAATTAAGTAAACATTAATATGAGACCAAGAGAAGCAATAGAAAGTAAACCCATAAAGATATTGTGAAATGGACGGGATTGCTTAACTTTTCAGTTAACGCTTTCGAAACCGGAGGGGGGAAACGTGTAATATCAAACCCGCAAAAAACCCTAAGCCAAATATTGTCAGGAAAAAAATGGAAACGAAACAACGTTAAAATTTTAAACGAATGGTGTTCTGGCAAGATCCGATACTAGTCAAGTTCACCAAAGATGATGCATCACATCTGCCTGCGTACTTCTGGGATTACTATTGAAGATTAAGCCGGTGAAAATTCGTTTTAAACTTACAACAAAACTGCACAGCGACACACAACTGCAGCCCATTGATCTTTCCGCGATAAAGGAGTGAAAATATTACGGCCTAAGTACAGGTAATCTAAACCCTGTCCATTTTCACATAGGGCAATTTATACTACTAAGAGGGGCTTAGGCACGGAACAGTATCCAGATCACTCCGCAAGGAGCAATAAAGGGGAATGAGACATTAATAACAAAATGCAATCGCCATGGCGCCATTTTAAATTACACTTTTTGCAATATTTATTTAACATTTTTTTAATTGTTACCATTTACGAGACAAACCATTAAAAGATTATTTGCCCTGGTACTTTACAATGTAGTAAAAAATCCTATTGTTAGAATATACGTTAGACGAAAGCCATCCGCTTACAACATAAAATTATTTTTGGATTATTTTGAAATATGTTTAAATGTTTCAATATTTCGGCGGTAGTCAGTTTTTTTGACACCGCCACTACACTGAAATCATCGCGTGGTTGCCATAAGAGGGTACAGAGACAAATGAAACTGGAGATCAGAGGCAGCAGAATCTTTCTGATAACAAATTAAGCTATAATAAAAATCTCCCAAATACTGAACTGACGACTCGACCTGGCAACATAAAACGCACGCACCCTGAAGACTGACTAGAAGATCCTGGAGCTGGAAGAACAGATTGACAAGTTGCGCTGGGATATTATAGGATTATCTGAGGTCAGTATTTGTTCATGATCATACAGGTTTACGCACCAAACTCGGCACATCCCGATGGGGAGGTGAAGGAAATGTATGAGAATATCTCCAAATTCATGCATTCCTCCAAAACCCTCTATACAGTGTTAATGGGAGACTTCTACGCTAAACTAGACACAAGAGAGAAGGGTGAGCTGACGGTAGGGAATCTTGGAATAGGGCAACGGAATGCAAGGGGCCACCAACTGGCCGACTTCATGGAAAATGACAGACTTTTTATGATGAATTCTTTCATTCAGAAGCGGCCCTACAGAAAGTGGACTCGGTCGGGCCCCAAAGGTTCGAGAAAAAATGAGAATGATTTCATTATGCGAACAAATTACTTACGTGGTACTTAATCTTACGTAGTAGAGCTATGCTGCAGCTATATTAGTAGTATAGTTGTAGCACGAATGGGTCGGCTGAACTGGGGAAGGACCACGCTCTCACAGAATACAGCTTAACACTGCTGTGTTTTGTATGATGAGTGTAGAGAACCGGAGACCTTTTTTACTGGAAAGGAGGCATTCCATCTGAGTCTTCACGGGTGACAACGCATCTGCATTTTGATTCGCAAACGAGGATGGATGTAGATGTCTATGGGCCACAGCAACCACTTACCATCAGGTAGACTGTGTGCTCGTTTGTCACCCTATCCTATAAAGAAACAAGACGGCAACTCTTCAGTTATGTCTCATTGATCGCGAGTGTGAAAACTGATAGCGATCACCAAATAGTTAGAGGCGTACTGAACCTAAAATTAAAGTTGGAGAGGTCTCGTCTAGTGAAGTCAACGCTCCGTCCCTCTCGCGCTCTGATCCATAGTCTCGAAATATTTCAGCTCGAGTTACAAAACCATATTCAGTGCCTAGAAGATCTCTCTCTCTCTCTTGAAGAACTACAGACCGATTTCCCTTCTGAGCCGCGTCTACGTACTGTTTTCGAGAGTCATTACGAATCGTCTCGCACGCAGACTCGACGACTTCAAGCCTCCTGAATAAGCCGGTTTTGATAAAGGGCTTTAGCACCATATATCACATAAATACACTTCAGTAAATTGTACGGAAGACTAAAAAATACAATCTGCCACTTTGTGTTGCGTATGTGAACTATGGGAAAGCCTTTGAATCAGCCAAAATTTTGGCAGTGCTACAGTCTCTTCAGCGGTACCAAGTTGACTATCGGTATATCGAAGTGCTGAAATATTTGTCGAGTAGGACTACGATGGTTATCCGAGTACAGAACCAGAATAAGAAACCTATCGAAGGCAGCGTTCGGGAAACTACGACACATCTTCTCGTTAGACATACCTCAAAACCTTAAAACGAAATTGTACAACCAGTGCGTATTGCCAGTGATGACTTACGGATCTGAGACGTGGTAATTCAATTCTGGCCGTATGAGGAATCTCAAAGTCGCTCAGTAGGGTTATGGAAAAGGCTATGCTCGGGATTTTTCTGCATTATAGACTTAAAAAAGAGGATATTTGCAGTAGAATCAGAGTTGGCCGGCCATATAGCTTGAAGAAATAACAACTGATGGGGAAGAAAGGTTTTCGAGTTGCAGCCTCGTACCGGTAGGTGAAGGGCGGTGTAGGGCGTCATCCCACTAGATGGAGTAACCACCTGGTAAGATATGCAGGAATTCAATCGATGCAGGTGGTTCGGAACCGTGCTTTGTGGCATACCTTGGGGGACGTCTATCTTCAGCAATGGACGTGTGTTAAGCTGTAATGATGGTAATTATGATGATTCTGTGCGAGCGTATTATTTCCGCGTTCGAGCCTAGTCATTCTTGCTATAGCTATAATAGATATAATACAATGTTTTCTAAGCCGTAATTATGATTTTAAATCGAGCACAGTAGGTTTGTATGAGCTATAGCATCGACTTACCGTCAGGTTTACTGTGTACTCGTTTATGAAATAAAAGTGGACATGACAATGAATTAGTCTTTGCGTTATAGCATGGTGCGGGTGACAACTTACACTTTTGGCGTGTCTAGAGATGGAACATCGTTAAATCAATTTAACAAGAGCGATAAACGATACAAAAAGCAAAGCAAAAATTATCGATTAGCTATCGATATTAAAATTAAAAACCGAAACATATATTTCTTTATAAACTACAATTTATGTAAAATTAAGTTAAAGTTTAATACAAATTATGACATAATAATTACATAATAGCTGTTACCGGACCTTGTCCACTTCGTATTTATTACGATTGAATTTCATGGGTGTTAATTTTTTGCGGGGAATCCTATTTTTTTTTAAATAAAATTAGCCTGTGTTACTCCTTGTAACAATAGCTGTCTGTCAGTGCCTGCTATAAGCCCGAACATACAGACAGTAAGACAAGCATTTATGTTTATGTCTTTTTAAAATAAATACCATATATACTTTCATATGTATTTAGTAAAAGGCTGTTATTTTGAAATTACAAACAGATACTTCAATGTATAGATTATACTATGCATTCATTTGAAAATAAAAATCATCTACTATTTCATGTTGATTGCAACATTCATCTGTAATTTTCAGTACGGTGTAGACTGCACCGGCAGCTTTTCAAGATACGATTGCTGGCGCCTTTTGCTACATGTGTATTAGTTTTTCCGGGTCCAATGATCTAAATATCGAGGCGGAAGGTAAAAATAATCGAGATTTTGATTTATAAATCTAATGAAATAAAAATAAAAAATAGGCTTTTTTAGCCATTTTGGTCGCGATGAGTTATGATAGTCTTTTTGACATAATGCGTAAGTTGCTTCTTCTAGCAGACATCGATGCTTCAAATTTGGAATACAATTATTGCTTAGTTTATAAATTAAGAAAAAACTAAAATATTTTGCAATTTCTGTCCAGTTTTTGAGATAAACTAACTGCATAAATAACTTTGTAATCCCATATAAATATAAAGGATTACAAAGTTACATTTGCAGTGAATGAATCAGTATACCTACGAGTATATATGTATAATATAATGGTATAATAGGTGTAGATAGGTAGGTACCTATGGAGGTCCATATAACTATCTACAAAAAGAAATGAAATGCCATCAAAAACATAACTTTTTAAAAAAACCAAGTCTAGGAACTCAGTTCTTCTACCGTTAAAAGTTGTGAGATCTATGTAATACCAAGTCGATTAATTTATTCAGTCCCTACTGAAGGTTCCTTCTGCCGGCGGCCGAATCAATCTATTTATTTAAAATATAAAAGATTTTTAGTATTGATGTGGTCACTATAAGATGTTGTTAAGTTAGCTAATTACGTAATAACTTAAGACAGAAGGAACCTTAAGTAGGGACTGAAAAAATTAACCGACTTGGTATTACATGGATCTCAGAACTTTTTACGGTAGAAGACCTGAGTTGCAAGACTTGTGTTTTTTACAAGTTTTGTTTTTGATGGCATTTATTTTGCCTGAGCTGACCAAGGAATAATTTATCGCCCATGTATCGGAAACACTGCATATTCGTCTATGTGAGTTTGTTTTCCGTAAATCAGAATTTGTCGAACAATTAGTTCCGATTCCAATACACATTTACGCGATTTTTGATAGTCTGTGGTTGTTCGTAATGACACGGCATAGTTTAGCGTGGCACATCACTGTCGTAAGTGGGCGGTACCCATCCATGAAGTTCAATATTATCTGTATATCAGTTTATCTAAAAAAATACGAAACTTCATAGGCGTGTGCTATCACCCGCACAATGCTATAACGCAAAGACTATAGTGTTAGTTTAGTACTTAGACAGCACCAAAAAATTAACGGTTACTGTAGTAATTTTGGTCAAACTTTCAAGAACTCATAATATAGTTATAACTTAAATTATTTTAATATTTATTTATTTACTCTTTATTGAATTACAAGATAATACAAAGGGCGGACTGCCACTAGGCATTATCTTCTAGTCAACCAATGGAGTGGTGAGACTTTGACAAAGGTGTAGCAATATAGAGAAAAAAAAACTAACTTACAATTGACAAGAAGTGTTATCCGTTTACTAACAGCAGGCGGAACGTCATTGGATGCGATACAAAGGAATGTACCCATCTGCCTTCGGTCGACTCGTAACAATGGCAAGGAGCTCCCTACGTAGCTTTCCACTGCAAGGAAATAATTAATTAAAAGAAATGCTTTAAGTCACGTATAGCGCAACTAACTCTTTTTTTTTTTAAATATCACAGCACAGGATCACAAATATAAGTGTTTACTAGCGTTACACATATTTGCAGAGATAATTAATAATCCTATCTTTGATAAATACTCTCCTAATGCATTTTAATCACGGCAAAACTCCTAAAACTCTCCCATCTATAATTTCAAAGTGATACAAATATTAAAATTATAAATAATTTATGAGGCCATGTAACTTGAAGAACCTTATACTCGAATCTAGAGTACGCACTCACGTACAAATATGTTTTAGGTATTTTTGCGTCCAATAAAGAACGTTTATGAACTATTAAAGAAAGAAAAAAGAAATATGTATGCTTTAGTGTGTAAATAGAAGTTGAGCATGGTTTCGGCATCACTTGAAATGTCTACAGCGCTTCGCCTTTCATTCTTATTTTGAAAACGTAGTATGGTGGTGGCATAAATGAAGCCAACACACCATCTGTTTTCGTGGATATCATAAGAGGCAATGTAGGGAAATACCTAGAGGATCTAGTGATCTATTAGGTTTATGAATATATTGTCTCAATGGGCTGTAATAATAATGATGAGGATGTTTCAAAGAACCTAACACTGCTAACAGTCCACCTTACGGAATGTGGCTTCTGCAGCCCATTAACATCTGTAACCATCTAAACAAAGAAGGTTTTAAAGGCATTTGCATCTCTGATAACAAATACGGTGTACCTACCTCATAGCCAATAATTGAAGCAAAACACAGCAGTGGACGCTTTGCTACTTGGCACTAGAAATGTGTCGTAGGAAGCCTATCTCTAAGGATTCCTATTCAAAGAAGAAGTCATACCACCTAGTCAAATAAAAGTTTAAGATATTTAATGATATTTGTTTAAATATTAGTTTTGTCTAGCTTGCGTACAGTACGCATACTTTTTTGTGAGAATCTTTCGTGAGTGCGCACAAAATAAACTTAGTAACGAACTAATGTTTCGCCTTAATCGGATAAGTGGTATTGGAATGTGTACAAACAAAGAAACATTCATTTTTATATTGTTCATGCATATAAATCGGATAAAGAAACTTAAAGACGTTTAATTTTCATTTTGAATAGCATTAGGCTATAATATTAGGTCAAGTTTGTCTGAATAAAGTAATTATAACAGTTTACTAAAATAACTAAGAATCATATTTATAAACAATATTTTAGTTTAAAATATCACATGTAAATTTAATTTCAGTAGATTTTGAAATGGTTATATAAGTAGTGTGTTAAGAATAAAAGCAAGAAACATTTTGCCCAGAATTTCCGAGAGTAATTTGCAAACACACCTGCGACTCGCGTTGTTCTACAAACGAAAGCGAGGGACGGTTGCCAACACGGACTGGGAATAATTTTGCGAAAAATAGAAGCACGTAGATCAGTCATATGCATATTTTCGTTACTATTATAAATGCTCATAGGGTATGTATTCAAATATTTGTTTTAAATAAAAATATATGACAAGTGTAATGATTTTTATAATGAATTCGAAAATAATTATTTTAGTTAATTACATAGACACACACAGTTTTAATTTTGCGACATCACAAGCTTCTATTTGTCGTTCTTCGTGACAGGCTATTTATTTATTTAACAATGTATGTACACACAAAGTAATGTTACAATGAAAAATAAAAAGATATTATGTACAAAGGCACTACTTATTACTTATTGAAATTTCTTCGAGCAAGCCCGATACTGAACAGATTCAAAGTGAAACAGATTTAGTGGGCACTCTCATAATATTAATTTCTACACGTTGTTGATGTTGCGTGCTGCTTATGTCGTATTGCTGCCACGACGTTACTCATATTCCATGACTACTCGATTTTAACGTATCCATGGTGAGAAAGATTCAAATGCGATGAAAACATAAAGCTTAACAATAAAAAAAATAAAATTAATTTTAAAATAGAATTCTTAACCAAACAAAAATTATTAAGATTTGAAATTAAATTTGATTTATTTAACTCATAGGTAAAGACCTTTTATTTAAATAACGAAATATGTTGGACTATAAATTATGTTTAATGACCACTGCAGCTCCTGAACATCTTCAGCCAACTAAAAGCGAAGAAGGATATAGTTGCTACCCATGGAGCTAAGATGGAACACATCAAAGCTTGCGACTTATCTAACTTGACTTATCAAACCAGATTAAAATTAGGTATAAGCGCGTATCAGCTCAGATTGGTTTATAGGCAGTAAATGTGCCTAAATATTTATGTAATGTTTACCTTTTTCAAATTCTCTAGACTGAAGCTTTTTTAGCAAAATTGGTTCATGGTCTTCTCTTCGCCAAGTGATTTTTGGTGGTGGGTGGCCAGTTGCTTTACAGGTTAATGTAGCATTCTCTAATTCTTGAACTGAGACGTCAGATGACGTATCATCGCTAATTATATCCGGAGGCACTGTAAAGAATGAACAAGTATTATTTTAAGTTATTTTGGACATTAAAATATTTTATGTAAGAGGGCTAAACAAGCCTGCGGCTTTCTTGATGGTTAGTGGAGTATCACCTCCATACCTATATTCCTCTATATATATACGATATAAGATGTATTCATAGGTCGAGTACATATTCGATTAATTATTATCAAAATAAAGATGCGTGTGACAACTAAGATGGAATGCTTTTGCGTTATCAGTTAAAAGGATATTCTTTACACATTTGACTATATCTATACAATACTTTTTTATGATGAGATTGGCTTGTTATCAAACAATTATTTACAGGCTGTAAAATCTAATTGGCTCACTGAATTAACCTCACAAAATATAGAGAAACTGAAAATATTATTGAGGAAAGATCGCATCCCATGATAAGACTTGAATAACTGTCAAATCATTTATCGTCATTTTCGGTAGCTAATTGTTACAGCAACGAAATAGCATTTGAAATATTTTAAACTAATTTCCATTTATTGTATATAAAACGATTTAATTTTGTTAAGTTTTTACTTATTTTGAAATTTTAAGCTTTGGGGAATTTGCAAACTGAACCCATGTTCCGGTTTGTATTAAAAAAAATTATGAGTATATGAAGTAGTACATAGTAGTATGAAGTATGATTACGAATTTCTTGGCATTATGTCATTAAATATAACCCAATTGGGTGGGTAATTGTGGCGCGAGAATATTTACTACGCCATATGAGGCGGCATGATAGGTGTCATAAGAGGCGGCAGATGGCAAACAAAAACTGGAGACGGGCAGCAGTATTTTAATGATAACAACTTAGAAAAGTGCGGTTTTCAACCCGTCTGCTAAGCGTGGCAACTATGGCAAAATCTCCCCCTATGAGTACCTACTTCGACTATCTTTGAAGGAGGCCAATGTTCAGAAGCTTTTCTTAGTATAACTGATAATAATAAATCCCAACCCCAAGCACGCCACTGTAAGACTTAAACTACAGTTAGCTCAAGCTTCAAAGATGGGTTCTTAATTAATTATTAAAAGCTTTAGGTAGTCTCCAAGTGACTATGAGTACTGTAAAAATACTCGAAATGTCAAGATTTAAAAATAACTTAAAATTCAACACGAAAACCGTGTCGTGTTTAAAAGAATCCATCACTCCTTTTCGTATCGTGGTTTTCGTATGAGAGAAATATAGGAAATGACAGAAAGATCTAATGGCTATCCATAGATAATAGAATATTAATTTTGTGTTTTCATATAATAAGGGTAAAAGGAGGCATACAGTCAGCCTGGCAGTATGGTCAGACATCTACATCTATCCTCGATTTATCTATCTTTTGTAGATGCGTTTTGTCACCGGTGAGGACTAAAATGGAATACCTCGTTACTAGTAAAAAGGCTGTTTCACGCAGGTATTCCGCGAGGGCGTGATATTAATCCGGTCGAGTTGACCTGATCATGTTGCAGCCATAATATAGCTATATCGTGGCTCTACTACGTGAATGTAATCCAGACCTAAAATATGTAGATCAGCGACGGAGAGTAGCGTATTAAAATGTTGCGGGACAAGAACGGACAGGATAAAAAATCAAAAAAAAACCCAGGAACGTGTAAAATATAAATCACTTTTAAGGTATTGTATTTACTGTTTATTATTGTTTGAGCTTTTTTTATAATAATAACTCGGTTTAGTTGAGTCGCTAATACATAATTAGCCAGGAAACATATTTGCAAAAGAAAGAGAAACAACAGGTTAATGGTTAATGTGTTTTAATTAAAACCCGAAAATAATAATAAGTAGATTTATTAAGACATAGGTTACAGTGCAATTAAGTGCAAATGCGCATTTCATATTGAAAAAAGTAAATTAAACATAAATACAAAAGTTCACATACAGAGTTTTATACAATAAAATCAATTATCTGGATGATATTTTATGATTCTGTCACTGTGCCGACTTGATACGAATAAGTTCGAACAAATAAGTGCTCGATCGTACATAATATTAAAGGCACTATAATATTTAATAAGGTATTTACCTTCTGATACGGATGTGAAAAGCTACCAGGAAAAATTTAAACTGAACAACAAATCGATGCAATTATAGGGCAACAATAACAAAGCGCGACGGTTCCTCTTACTAATTATTTGTTGTCGGCTGGTTAAAGTTAATTTAAACAAAGGCTATTTAATGAAAATAGAAGCATCATTTAATTTGTAAACATTGCTATGTTTATTTTGTTATTTGTTCATTAGTAACTACTAGCAAAATATATTATTTTGACGACCCATTCCATTACAGCCTATTAAAGTCAACTGCGGAAAATCGGCCACCCCAAAGATTGTTTCAAAGGGAACATTTTGCCTAGTTTGTCAGGTGGATTGGCATTGCTTATTTTATTTTAATTTTGAATGTTTATCAGGAAAATGATGCTGCTCATACTGTTAAGTTTCCCTTAGTCACCTCTTACGACACCCACGGGGTGATACGCGGCAGTCGATAGTCTAAAACCACCTTTAAACGGCTATTCAGACGGCTCCGTGGCGCAGTGGCTTAGCAATGAGTTGCTGCGCTGGGGGGCGCGGGTTCGAATCCCGTACGGAACAAGTATTTGTATGGCCTACAAATAACTGTTCCGGGTCTGGATGTTTGTCCTTGTGCAATATATGTTTGTAAACTGCCTCCACGATACAGGAGAAAATCCTAGTGAGGGGGGTAACGTTTTTTTAAAAAAAAAATTGTATTTAGACGATTTCATCATATAAAAATATTGAATAGACTTATACTTTTGTCTATCAATATATATCCATTGGCATTCCTAGTAATAAAATAAATATTAAAACGTAGTTTTTTATAACTTTTTGAATTTAATTGACTTATAATAAAGGTCAGTAATAATAGCCTCCTCTCATCCCTCAAGGTTACGAAACAGAAAAGTGTTCACTATGTTTCAGTGCGATTTGGTGAACTTTGGAGAACTTCATAATATGTCCTCCAAACATTTTTATTACCCATTCCTGAAGTTCCTTTTGTGATATATATTCTTTTCAACTCAATACATGTTAAATCAGTACATAAAATGCGAGTTTCAAAGTGAAACATTTCATCGTTCTCAACTATTTAAACAATAAATTTAATAATTCTTTAGTAGAATATGCGCAAAAATTGAGGTACTCATCTGATTTACCTACCTAAATCAATAATTGAAATAATAAAATTCATTTCTTATGAAAGTAAAAAAATTATATTGAAAAAAAAAACTAAAGTGAATTGAACGAAAAGTCACCGCAGTTGTGCGCAATTCGAATATGGAACAAGTTGGAAATTGGAAAAGGAATCGCGACAGTTTCTTCAGCCTCATGCAAATTGTGAATGCAAATAAAAGTAAACTGTCGAACTTTTGGCATTTTGAGGTTGGAATGTAAAACGTGCTTATTGCTTTATTTTGCCTTACAGTTTCTCCGTCGCTTAGAAAGAATTGTATAAATAAAGTCGATTATAAGGCTCAGACTAAGTACGTGTCGGAGCATTTAAATGTTATTTAAAAATGTTCACGAGTGGTTTTTATTATTGGTGTCCGATGGGCGAACATTGCCATTAGTAGTAAAGTATTGGCTAATTTTTATAATCTATGATATTGAAAATTGTTAACAAAACACCTAAATTAGAGTAATATCTTATGAAATATCTTGGATGATGATATGATGTTGGATGATAAATACAATTAAAATATATTAATACAGCAGAAAATAATAGTTTTCTTTTGAATATATTATATATGATACTTTACTATCGCTATCACTACAAACAACATTACAAGTTCACTGCTATACATTCGTTTCCACCATAGACTGCTGTGTAAACTGATATATTTTATTGATTATTTTACTGAAACAAACCCAAATATGTGTCAATCACAGTGTCAGAAATGTAATAATACCTATCGAGTAGAAATGTCAAGTCAAAATAGAACGACAAAGTATCTGTTTATGTAATCAAAAGAGGTGAAATGCCGAAAATAGTTTCCATAGGCTGATATTATGTTTTAATACGATAGTTATCGAACTCGCACTGTAGAGTTACACAAGCGCGACTGTCGGTCTGGTGACACCCCGCCTCAATAAAGCGAGGAACAAGTTCGAAATTGAAAAAGAAATCCCGCTCAACGCCGTTGCCGCATGCAAATGTCAAGACTACAATATTGCTAAACTCCGTACTACATTTGTAAGGTGTCTTCGGTTTGAAAGTAAATTAAAAGTGAGCATCGTATATTAAAACTTCGTTTCTTGTTATCGAGATCGGTTTCATACGAAAACGAGTAATATTCATAAACGTAAAAAATGAAACCACTTGAGATTTGACAGTTCAATAAACAAATTAATCAGACCTATGGTCAAGCCAGATCAGGCCAAAGACAATTTTTTTTTAAATGATGGTAAATATAACTTAGAGTCAAATTACTAAGTTCTTATCCAAATATAAATATTAATATAAAAAAAATAATAATATAATATTATTAGTGAAAAAAAACACATGTTTATAACCTTATGTTATCCAACGAGACGCGTGTCTGTGCAATAACAGCGACATCTATTATGAATCATCAAAACCACTTTCTATGGTCAAAGACATCGATCGATTTTTCGATTTGCTATTGAGTTAGTGGAGATGTGTATTAATTAGTACTGTAGGGTTTCCGTAGAGGGCGTTAACTGTACAGACTTAACTACAGAACGGTTGTTAATAAGCATGGGCGTTTTCAGATTTTGGCTGCAACGGTTGCATAACTGATATTTAATTTTCATATCGTTACTGAAAACCGTTTTCAAATATCGATATCAGTAGTAATGGTTTACAACCGAAACATAACCGAATAATACGAAATAATACTAGCCTAGATGATAGCGCCCTCTAGTGTAATTTTCAGTAATTTATAATCCCTACGCCATCTATAAAAGCGCAGAAGAAACTTTCCTCATTTCGTCACCTAAT